TGCTCTGGTAAAAGCATTTGATATTGTCCTCTGTCCGTCGTAAGAGCTGTATAATGTCTACTTCCCTGATCTAATTCAATTTGGTAGTCCCGAGGGGTTGTTACATTGAAGTTTCGGTGTACAAATGAATTCCGATGGCAATGATTTCCTATGAATATCTGCGATTTCCTATTGAATTCCGACGATTTCCTACGAATACCTCCGATTTCCCATTGAATTCCGATAACTGGCGGCGACTTCCTGCTAAGTTCTGTGAATACCTACAGCTTTAAAATGGATTTGTATTTTGTCCAATTTTTTTTAAATTGAATTTATAGGTACTACTTTAATATGACACCAACAATTAATTGTATGCGAGCCCATTCATTCAAAATACAAAGAAAGTGTTATTCGAGTTTGGCAAGCGCAATGTAATATCGTCGGTTTAGGGTAAGACTTAGGATTATTTACATACTAATTAATAGGGACTTAGGATACCGTTATGGTTAACTAAGAAAGTTATTATGAAAAATCCCGTGTACCCGAAATAGTGGTGCAGCTGAAAGTGTATTCCCTTCCCTAAAAAGTGCCAAAAATTGTGTTTAGCAGGCAACCGATTTGCTTGCAAATCATTAGGGTTCTTCTCAAGAGGTGCCTTCATCAGTAGGTATGCAAAATATGGTTTGGATCTGACAATTCGTTTGGGTTGTAGTGTTTACAGACAGACAGACAGAGACAGACACACAGACAGACAAACATGGCAAAATCAATACTACACTGAAATGATTTCAACTGCGTAGGTAATAATGATCTCATTCATAAACAAAGTTTATTTAAAAAAATATTTGGCGAAGGAGCTTAAGTTGTAAAAAAACTGATGCAATTACAAATAAATAAATGCCAAATACAAAATTCCTTATAAGCAGTCAAAATCCAAGCTCTATTCGGCGGTATGTGGTAAATTTCGGAAGAAATCTTGATATTCTTTCGTAATTGTATTTTTCTCACAAAAATACGTAATGCAGTCGTACTCGTATTTACTAATGGGTATTAAATCTTCACGCAATTTCTTCAACTTGAAGTTTGACATGTCTTGTAACTTTTTTCTACATTTATCTTTTACATTAATTAAAAAGTAATCTTCTTGTAGCTTGTAACCTGCTTTTATAATGTTGGGGTTTTCATAGTCTGCATGTACACAACTGATTTCTGGCCATTTCACCACGTTTCCGGAAATATCTCTCAATTTTTGTCGTTTGCAAAGCAAGGTCTTTTAAATCAAAAAAATCATTTTGAGTCATCTCTTTGACATGGTATGGTCTTTTTACACATGCTGTGCGGGCAATTGTGCACCACTGCCCAGGGGTTTGTATAGATAGGAATTTTTCTCGCGCACCTCTCAATAGCACCCTCATTCTGTGTATGTCCGACTTCCATGAATCGTAGCGTAATTTTTACGTTATATTGGCGAGCTGCATAAAGTAACATGACATACATAAATTTGTTTTTATTTTGCCCTGCGCAGTTGTCACAATAAAATACAAACTCATTAAAACCCTCGCTTGCTTTTCTTTTAAGAAAGTCTAAAACACAGCTTCCAATTTCACTGGTTCCACGTGAGGCTATAACTTCATGCCACATAAAGCAATATCCTTGTTTTTCTGCAGCATCAAATATAGTTAAAATTGTAGGTGGCCAATTTGGATTTGTAATAGGCTTGACCAGTTTCAACTTTTGGACATTGAAGAACTTGCTGTAGATCAAAAATAGCTACACAAAATTTGCTTTTATCTGCATCCTTTAGCTTATGAATGAAATCCTTGTTTGCCAAATGATTTTCTAGTTTCTCATTCATTAGTGTTTTCTCTATATCATCTGAATTGGTGTTTGTACAAAGATCACACTGATCTTTCTTGGGCATGTGAAACCCTAAATTAATTCATTTAAAAAGATCCATCTATACACATGGATTGACGCACTGCTTTTGTGTTCAATTCTTCGCATTGATCGACATACAACCTATACATTTTGGAAATATTGAGAGAAGCTGGCAGGTACTTCCTGGACGAATCCTTCCTGCAGTAGTGGCTTTCTATTACGTCAGACGAGTTTATATGATCTCTTACCGCTTCTTTCTTTTTCATCGCGAAGATTTCCTTCTCTATTGGATCTTCCTCGGTTGTCCTTTCTTAGAGTAATAAAATTGTCCACATTTCTATTTCCAGCCATTTTCGCTACAGTTTTAACTACTTGATGACTAATGTCTAACGCTTAGGATAGTCTTGTACCAAACCGACGATATGAGCCATGCGTTATCGTTCCCGCGAAAACCATTGCAACTCTAAGATAAAGAAGACATAGAAATACAGATGGAAAAATATTATGCAGTGTTTTATGATGAGGCCTGGTATATTGGCAATATAATTAAAAAAATTTCTTCTGAATTATACGAAGTAGAAAATTTAGAAGAATTCCACTGGCCCAAAAAAGAAGATAAACAATCTGTAAACAAAGAGTACTTCATTTTTGGACCCATACAAATGATAGGTTGTAAATCTTTAAAGATCAGTCACTTTGACAGAAATCAAATAAATAGAAAATTTAAAATCATTAAACGAGGTGATTAATTTTGAATATATTTATTTATTTTTATGCTGGTTTTTATATTATATTTTGTTTGGAGTGATTTTTTATTTATACATGTATACAACAGATGAACTTTTTTTTTATTTTTGAATATTTAAACCATGTGATTATTGTTCATTATACTTCTCACTATAAATTTGTTTTAAAATATTTGGTATTTTTATTTATTGTTGAATATATTTTAATATTTAATAAATTAACGAGCTTTACTATGCCTCCATTGTCTTCCAGATTAAACCACATAATTTGAATGTCTAATATAGCAGTGGAGAAGGCTTCATTTATTTAAAGTGAAGGAAATCTTACATTAACGCATTTTTAGTAAATAAACGAGACATGAGTAGTATTCCATTTTAATATCGGTACAAAAGTGTAGACACAAACAAATTATTATAATAAATATGAACAGAGATATTATGAATGTATTCTAAGAACTGCCTAGCTTTAAAAAAATTAACATGGATAAAGGATAATTTAACTGTAATTATGAGTAAAAAGATTTGAAGAGTTTTAAAATTATGAAGAGCTGCGACTTTAAAAACATATTAAACTTGCCATTTTTTATATCGGAGCGATCGGAATAAAATGACGATGTATGTTAGATTCCAAAAGAGCCATATATGATATGACAATCTCTAATTATATTTAAATATACAGGGTGTTAACAAAAGAATGCCAATAACTTTGAACCGGGGCACCAAATCAAAAATTGAAACTAAGAAAAGTTGTTTGTTTTCGGGTGTAAGAACTTAGTAACACCCTGGATAGAGCTTACCGTGTTGATCTTTCACCCAAGTTTTCGATAGCGGAGAAAAACTGAATTCTTGGATTGCAAGTAAAACTGTACGTCCAGTTCAAGGTCCAGTTTCGATACGATGTTTGGCACATTTAAAAGTCCCGTACTGTGGGTGGAACTCCCATAGTAAGAGGTAAAGGTAAAGGGTACTTCTAATAACTATAGCAATTGATGTACGCATTATAATGGAGATGTGCTACTGAATTCCCTATGAATACCCGCGATTTCCTATTGAATTCCGATGATTTCCTGTGAATACCTACTTATTGAATACCGATTGCATGTACACAAGAATTCCTAATGTATTAACCCCTCGGTAGTACCCTTGAGCCAAATCGAGGCGAGAAAAATAAATTGCTCCTGCTACTGAATCTAAAATTTCGGTTGCAGTAAGCATGTAAGAAATAATTTGCTTAAATCAAAGAATAAACGAAAAGATAGGTACGATAGGAAGATTAGTGTTGAAAATTACATAGTAGGACAACAAGTGTTGTTAAAGAACGAAACAGGAAACAAAAGCAAGCTTTATTTAAGGGATCTTACGAGGTAGGTAGTAGAAATTAAGCCACCTAACATAAAACTTAAAGTAGAAAATAAAATCATTGAAGCACATATGAATAAAGTTTTGTATTTGTTTAGTTGAAACAAAGAAAAAAAAATTTTCCCCCTGGGAGATGTAAGGTATAATTTAAGGTAGTCAGACCCGCAATAATACTTTCTATAGCCAGCTCTCTGTCTATAAACATCTCAATCTGTCAATATGCGCCTACAATCGTTCGCAGTCGTTCGAAATCGTCCGCAATCTCTAAAAATTTTAAGAAATCACAGGATTTATGGAAATACATGTACATTTTTTGCTAGTGGGCGTCGAATCTCCATGAGGAAACTATGGAAGTTATAGAAGAAAAAACTGATAACGTCTAAAGTGATTGCCAATGTGAACAATGAAGATGCAACATTCGCAATTTTGACAAACAAAACTCCTCTCAAAGAAAAATCGCAAGAACCAGGAACATCTAGACAACAGTTGATAAAAACATGTTGTAACATTTGTCAAATACAATTGAACTTGTCATATTTATAAAATGTGGAAGTATCCCAAAATATATTATTTTATGCGAAAACTGTATTACTTAATTCATGAATAATATAACCTTACAACGTTTGTGAAATGAATAAACAAAGCTATAACTTAAAATCCATGATAACGATTACTGCAACTAATGTTTGTTAAATTTCCAGTTTTACTTAAAAATTGTTGAATCATTTATTTTATTATGCACTGTGCCATAACTTAATTTTGAATATCTATTAGAAATGTTAATTTAGGTCCATTCTCACGTGTACTTTGTAGTATTTGTTTTTGATAACAGTTTCTATTTATATCGCGATAAAACATATCCATGGTACTTGGAATTCTGTACTACTTGTCTTTCCATAAAGATATTAAATTCCTAATTTAGCAAATTATTGCTACTCTTGTCGGTATTTTAATATACTACGAAACTAAATCAGTCCATTAAAAAAACTTATGCATCTGAAGAAGCAAGTACTTTGCAGGGCGAATTAGAAAACTTACCAATATGTGGTAAATCCTTTTCATCGTTTACTAATGGATATATCCACGCAATCGCCGAATTAAGAACATCACCTTCACCAATCCAGATAGGTACTACGCGACTCGCGTTCTGTTTATTTAATATAAACGTTAATTCAGGTGGCGCAGAGTTTATTCCTTTAACTATGAAAAATAAGGTGTGTAAAACTAGATGCCAGTTTAAATGCAAACTTTTGTAGTAAATATTTGCGTAGTACGAATACATATTAACTTAGATCATTCACATTTATGGATTGACTCATGGTGCACTTCAACCGTTTAATTTATTTTTGTTCACTACTCCACTACTCGCATTTTACTTATGATTTGTTTTGTTTGGTGTCAAGGATGGTTATGCTAAACTAAACATCTCGCGTTCACTTTTTTTTAGTGGATTCGACCAATCCATTTATAGGTAACCTTGATAGTTTTAGTATTATGAAACATAGTTACTTACAGCAGTTGTGTTAGCCGGCTACCGTACATACACGTTAGGTAAGTTGGTAGAGATACTGACAAATTGTCACTGTTCCGACTTTCTCTTTATTATTAGACTTCTTATTGTGCAAGTGCAAGGCGCCTTTTTCGGTTTCTTAACTTGATTGTTGCGGACTCCTTGTAGCGAAATTCCTGTAATTTTCTATCGAACAAATCTAGGTACTATTACTCGTACGCTATAATCTGATAGTGCAGAAACAACATAATAGTTATTAATGATACAAGTTCGTTTATGAACGTCATAATGAAACGCGTGTAACGTTTTAGTTACACAAATTTCATTAATAACGTTCATATAGAACGTGTATTATTCAAAATTTAATCCAAGACGGTTCAAATAGATTTTAATCAGATTTTTGAGTTATCTAAACGTTTTCATAAATTATGATTCAAAATTATCAATGTTAAGGTGGCCATTCGTCCCGATTTAGTCGCCGGGATTGTCCTTTCTTTCAAATCTTTATCCCGATTTTTTTATCACTTGAATCGGGACGCTAAATGTCCCGATTTTCGGATTTTAGCAATGTTTGATACTATTTGTACACTTTTCAAATTGTAGACTTTGGTAAGTATTAATTTAAAGTGTTGTTTGGTAAATTATTCGCCGGTGAGTACGCAATTTCGTCAAAAATAAAAGCCGCTAACACTAACTCATTAGTCATTGTGCTCTTTTGTGTTTGCAATACGCTGAATGCGCATGTAACGATCCGCGATCGGTAGGGAAAGCGCAAGTATACTGCATAGTCATTAGTACTTAAACTTAAACTAATGCAACGCTCACTAAAGTGTACGTTACTTATACTTTATAGCATTGATTAGGGGTACGGTCGGAAATTTACTTCAAAAAGTATCAGTAATTAAAGTAATGCAATCGCAGTAAAGCGGTTATTTATTAAATTTTACTCAAAATACTGAAGATGCTGTAATAATTTTCGACCGCTTGTTTTGCAATTATATGCTTTTGACAACTGATACCTACTTAACCTCAATTATTCTCTATTGTGTATATTGCCTTATTGCCACAATGGATTCTGAAAGTATAGTTCCTTTAATTGTTAATAATATTTTGAGTATTTTGGACGATTCAAGTTCTGATGATGATGAATTTCTAGTATTAACACATTTGATGAATGTGAGTGATTCCACTCGTTTAACGAGAATTGAACATTATGTGGAAAATGTGGTTCATTTATATTCAGATGATCAATTCCAATCACATTTTAGGTAGGTATGGAGTTATATAGTTAGTTCAAACTGTGTGTTACAAGGGTTCTGGGGTTTCAAATCCCAAGTAAGCCTCTGGTACAGCACGGCTGTCTGTGTTTGTATAGTGGGTCGTTGTTAGCCTACTATACAATAAGAATAAGGTCAATTAAAGTATTAAGTCACTAATTGTAATATTTGTAGAATGCAACGAAAAACATTTGACTTTATTTTGTCTTTAATTGGACCAAAAATTAGTGAAAACGTGGTAAAACCTGGACGACCAAGTGTATCCCCAGAAACACAATTGCTGCTTACGTTGTGGATTCTTGGAACACCTGATTCCTATAGGTGGGTCTACAGTTTCTACTTTTATCTACCTATTTTCAATGACCTTTTAATAGATCTGTATCGGATCGTTTTAATGTCGGAAAAGCAACTGCCGTTATCTCCGTAAGAAGAGTAGTAAAAGCGTTGTATGATCATGTACATACATTTATAAAATGGCCAATAGCAGATGAAATGGAAACAAGTATAAGAGTATTTCGAGCTGTAAAAGGCTTTCCAAATGTTATAGGTGCAATTGATGGCACCCATATTAGCATAACTGCTCCTAAGAATAATGCAGAAGCTTATGTGAATCGAAAAGGGTATCATTCAATGCAATTACAGGTAGGTAGTTATTTTCTGCAGGTACATGCTTGTGTAGTTAGCTGTTAGCTTACTACTTTTATTGTAGGCCGTCTGTAACGAAAATGGAATGTTTATTCATTGTTTCACTGGATATCCGGGAGCTGTCCATGATCAGCGAGTATTCCAAAACTCGGATTTACCAGAATTTTTTAGAAATGACACACAATTTCCAGATGATGTACACATTTTGGGAGACGCAGCATATAAGTTGCATAAGCATCTTATGGTACCATTTAAAGACAATGGTCATTTAACAGACATACAAAAAAATTTTAACATGTGTCACTCATCTACAAGAATGGCAATCGAAAGGGCATTTGGACTTCTCAAAGGCAGAATGCGGAGATTGTTAGATACTCTACCAATGACACGAGAAGATCTTATACCAAAGTACATCATAACGTGTTGCATTCTTCACAATATCTGCGTTTTAAAACAAGACCAATTTCAACCATTAGCTGTAGCTATTTCAAATAATGCAAGTGCTGTGGAAATACTGGCAACACGAGAACCGGATGGTGGAGGAAGAGATGTAGCCATAAGAAAACGGGATGTAATCGCTGCTGAATTACCTATGCAAATTGGTGCATGATTTTTACAAATAACGAGGATACGAATGAAAATAAATTTATTATACATTAATAAAAATAATTAGGTATTAGTATCATTACTTTTTCGAAATGTTATCAACAAGTGTGCGTAATAAACTTAATGCTTCTGTACTTTTCTCCATTCTTTCTTTATGATGCTTTTCTTTATCTTCTCGCAACTTGTTTAAAATGTCCACCAATTTTCTATTCTCTACAAAGCGAAATAAAAAATAAAACATTTAAATTTATGAGTTCATACTTTTTGGTGATTGTTTTTTCTTCCCCTCCGTTTTTGGTGAATTTTTGTTCGCTATTGCACATGTTGCTGAGGTAGAAGGTGTAATTGATGTACTGGTAGAGCTACTACTGGCAGCACTATTTACGCTCGCACTACTACTACTGGCTAAAGAAACTGGTACTAACCATGGTTGAGAAGAAAATATTTCATCCATTGCCTAATTATAATACCATAAATATTTATGTGTATCCATACAAAATACTTACTTCCAAATACGGCCAATCTTTTCTATCATTTCCCGATACTTTATTATGGTCCTTGACCTTTTTATATTGCCTTTTCAAAGTTGCAAGTTTTGTCTTACACTGACTGGCAGTGTACGTATAACCATGTTTAGCCATTAATTCGGCAATACTATTCCAAAAAGCTTTTTGTTTCACCTTCCCCTTCACTAATACATCCTGTTTTTCTCCATACAGGTTTAACAACAAAGTTACTCCTTCAAAGGACCAACGGCATAAATCTAAGTACAAATCTTGTTATAAATATTTCACTTATCAGTGTACTTACCATCAGTATCGTATCCGCTTTGTGGCGAAGTTGGTTCTGTGTAACCTTCAGTGGGATTATCGTGCACAGCAGCCTCGACATCAGCAGCTGAATCCGTGTGATCTTCCGTGGCATATAGCAGTAAATTTATAACCGCAGATTTGTGTATTTTTAGTAAATGTAGCACTTGAAGTAAATTTCCGACCGTACCCTAGTTATAATGTGTGGAGCCTGTGGAGTGTTGTGTAAAACGAAAGGAAAACGTAATTAATTAAGCATGCCACCACCGAAACGTAAATGTGTTTTCAACTCGAACTTAGAAAAAGAATACCCTTTTATTAAAAAAAACTGTGTCCGATTCCGATGTTCGTTGTAATACTTGCGCATCCTCATTTAACGTAAGTCAAGGCGGTTGCTCCGATATTACTCACCATTTAAATAGTGATAAACATAAAAACGCGGTACGTGCGAGTGCATCCAGTTCATTGCTTACCACCTTTTTCAAAAGTGAAGCTTTTGGTGACACGGAAGTTAAATTAGCGGCTGCCGAAGGAGTGTTTGTCTACCATACAGTACAACACAACCAATCTTAGATCTTTAGACTACACCTAAAAGCTACTACAATGCGTTTTTGAACCTAAGTTTACGTGTGACCGTACAAAGGCAGAGGCAGTATTATTAAATCTTTTAAACCCATTTGCGGAATCTCTACTAGAAGCAGATTTACAAAAAGCGAACTTCGTCTGTATAATGACTGACGCATCCAATCATAAAGACACTAAATTGTTCCCGATATTGGTACGATATTTCACTCCTGGTAACGGTATTACTGTTAAATTATTACAAAAATCGTTGCCTGGAGAAACTGCGCAAATCATATCAACATATTTAATTGAATGTTTGGAGCAGCTTAACTTACGAGAAAAAGTCGTGGCTTTATGTGCAGATAACACAAATTGCAATTTTGGAGGTGTAGCCAGGCGAGGCGAAAATAATATTTTCACAAAATTAAAGCAGAACTTGGGGCATGACCTGCTGGGGGTAGGTTGCAACGCTCACATCATCCATAACACTATTCAGACAGCTGCTGATGTACTCCCGATTGACGTTGAAGGAATTGTGTCGAAAATATACTAGTTTTTTTACATATACACGGTTAGAGTGGAAAATTTAAAAGAATTTTGTGCATTTGTGGATGCCCTTCTTCCTGCTGTAGAACGTCTTTTAGTTATGTTTTCGCCTTTAAAATCTTATTTTGAATCTCAAGATAAATGTCCACATGTCATAAAACTCTTCTTTGAGGACCCGTTGTCAGAGGCATGGTTGTATTTTATACATAACCAGGCATCAACTTTTCACTCGGCAGTTTTAAAAATAGAAGGTGAAACGGTTACAGTTTTTGAGGTAATAAGTATCTTGTGTAATTTAAAAGAAAACCTCACTTCAAAGGGAGATGATTACTTTATTACATCAGCTGCCAGGACCATCCTTGCAAAACTAGAAAAAGACGGCTTCGCTCCTGAAGTAGCAAAATTTCGGCAATATGTGCACACCTTTTACAAAGTAGCTGCAGAGTATTTGGCAAAATGGACAGAGCCTCTTGAACATTTAAAACAATTTGATTGGGTAAACCTTAAACAGATTCCAAGCTGGGAAAACGTGCAAAATACAATAGAATTTATTAAAACTATAAGTATATGTCCTTCAGTTGAAATGGATGAAACTGGTCTGTATGACGAATATATGTGCGTGAAGCAATATGTGACTGCAGAAAAGTTAGTAACGTGGAAGTCTGAGAAAACATTGCCTGCCCAGTGTTGGGTTGAAGTTATGTGCAACTTCAGTGCCGAAAATGTACCATATTCAAACTTTATTAAAATATTAGAATTTCTTTTTTGTTTATCGGGTACAAACGCTCCGACAGAACGAGTATTTTCGCACATGAATTCAGTATGGACAAGTGACAAGACTCATCTATCAATTAACACTTTGAGAGCCATGTTAATAACTAAAATTAACTTTACCGACTCTTGTGCAGAGTTTTATAAACTATTATGCTAAAACAAGGAGCTTTTGAAAAAAATTCATTCGTCACAAAAGTACCAACCGAGGCTCTAAATATTATGAAATAGTTTTTTTGTGTGTTAATTATATGACTTTTTAAGTAAAAAAATTATAGTATTCTGTATTTTTGTATTTTAGAACCCCCCACCCCCCAAAACTATTAAATATAACTATATTATCGCAAATGTTACCTACAACTGAGTTGTTACGCTAAAACGATAAGATTTAGTTCTTTATTTATAACTAATAAATGATGTAATGATTTATCATATCTGTCGTTCACTTTCTTTGACGTCGTGACCGCTGCTAAGAGTCCCGTTTTGCGTCTGCGCTGTAATATGTACTTCCTTGGAAGTGTCTAAGTTTAGGGCTGAAGTGCTGAAAATGGTATAATATAATAGTGTACAAAGTAAAAAGAGCATAAATAACTGTCAGCTGATATTTAAATGTGGCAAAACCTGTTACCTGGGCGTTCAAAGTGTAGCGTAGCGTTAGCGGGCGCTAGCGCACGCGGCGACTTTGAATTTTGATGGTCCAGCTAACACATTTTTCCACGTTGTCGTGTCAGCTAACAAGTGGTTTCCTTTTTTTCGTACCATAAACTGATGAGGTAGTCATGCTGATGTCATATTATGATTGAACGAGAATACATGAGTAAAATGGTATCACATACTGTGAAATAATATTATACATAAATTGAAACATTGTATTTTATAATTTGTAACGTGGTTTTATTTTCTTGCTAGGACAAAACGCAACCAATACATTTCTTAGACAATTCTTAAAAAATATTCAACCTCTTATATTTCTTAAACCGTTGGTCTAATTGAAAAAAGGTGTAGTAAAAAAATTACCTTGATTAATTCGACATATTTTGTCTCGCTCATGTATTATACCTCTATCTGCACTTATAACGAAAAGACCTCGCGACTGAGATTTTTATTACACTTCTCGCGCATATACAGTTTACAGAGTGGTTTTTGACTTTCTTTTTGTTCTGTGAGACAGCAAATATAATGAGCTTTCGAACGGTACACAAATTCTTGAAAAATATTCCTAAATAACCTGGGAAATGCTTGCACCCAATTACAGAGTGACTCGCATAATGCTTTTTAGAAGTGCCTCTGCAGAAGGTCTTAAGTTGTTCTATACTACTCCGGCATTTACCTTAGGAATTAAGAAAACTGCAAAAAAAGGACAACCTAATTCGGAGTAGTCGACAGAATGCTTGAAACTGATCTAAGAAAATTCCCATCTCTTCCACAGATGAAAAATTCTTACCTCGGCCCAGGTTCAAACACCCGACATTCGGCTATTATGTAGCCCATCGCTCTACCACTGAGCTACATAATCGGTTGGGGTTTTGTTATTTGCTTTCTTACCAATAGTGAGAGTAGAATTCCTTTTATTTTTGTGATTGCAAATTATATTGAAATTAAGCTTCATTTACATTCAATTCCACTTCAAACTGAACTTGGAAATTGTACGCACTGTCATTTACATTGCTTTACAATTTATAGGTTAGACTTTCTGTCAACGCTATTGCTTTTGCTGGTTAGGAAAGTAACATTTGCTTTATTTCGGAATTATGGATGAATTATCACTTAATTTATAATTCGACATCCAATCCGAAGACATTTATAGAATACTAAGTAGTTCGCCTCGCTCGAACTCCAGCCACGAGTTTAAAAGTACTTATATAATTTAAAAAGAAAAACTTTTTACCCCCAATTACCCTAAACGGTCTCCGCCACTGTCGTGATGTCAGTCCCCGTTAGGAATGAGTATCTAACCTCATTCGTCTCCTCGTGCTCGCCGCGTTTAGATCCTTTGTTCTTTAATCTACAGGTTTTTTCTTTCAATTGAAAATGGGAAAGTCTAAGAGACGACGTTCTCGTAGCAGGGGTAGTGATACTGAGCCTCTTAAGGCCGGAAATTTATTGAAACGGTTGCACCGTTTGGAAAGAAAATTGGCGAACTACCAACACAAAGGCAGACGAGAACATTCTCACTCTCCGGGCGACGCTTCACGTCCCTCGTCAAGCAGGCGCTCCCGATCTAGATCTCGACGATGTTTTCCGGATCATCAACCTCGAGATAAGTTTGCTTCATTAAGTAAAACAGATCAGACATATTCGTTGAGGATGACGAGCATTTCACCAGCTTCTAGTCGTTCACGCTCGCCTAGCTGTTATCCTAGAATGCGCATTAGCTCTCCCTCTTCAGGCGAGAGAGTTTTGCACTCGCCAGAGGCAGGTCGTCATCACGACCCTATGTCTCCACCAAAAGTGCCTGTAGGTGAGCCTTCTGTAGATTTAAACTTGTTAGAGGGAGTGACTACTAGATCAAACGTTGACGATATTCGGGATGATGGAAGTGTTCTGGTTTTACAAGACGACCTCTCTTTAGAGGATCTATCCGAAATCGCAGTCACAGCCCAGACGTTGGAACCATATTATTGCCAATGGTCTGGCAAAGGACAGTGTTGAAGTCCTCAAGAAGCAATATTCCAACCCTGATAACTGTGTGCATCTTCTCCCGCCCAAGTTGAACCCAGAGATTGCAGCCATTCTTCTTAATGATAGGTTGGCTCGGGATTCGTTTAATGCCGAAATTCATTCTGAAATAGCCACAGCTCTCTGTGCAATGGGCAAGTCCATGACACTGCTCCTTAACTCTACAGATGTTTCGAGAGAATTTCGGAATCAGCTCTTATCTCCGTTGGGGGATTCTAGTAGAGTTCTGGTAAATATTTTACACTCTATTACGGACTGTAGGCGCAAGTTAATTTTGCCAACGTTAAATAAAAATGTTAAGGATATTTTGGCAAAGTCAGTGCCAAATGAATTCCTTTTTGGAACTGATCTGTCTGAGAGCATTAAGGAAGCAAAAAATCTGCAGCTGGCGGGGAAAGATCTTAAGCTTGCACCCACTTCCAGCTTATCACAGCCTTTTGGGAAGGGGAGAGGCACTACATTCAGAAAGACTTCCACTACCACTCGTGGTATCTCTAGAGCAGAATCTCGGTCTTTAAACCGTTACGGCCCGGTTCGTCCCAGGGGACAAGCGAAACCATCTCGAGGCCACCCGTCCCAGAGACAGGGAAAGTACAGGCGCTAGAGAACCTTCAGCAGGTAAGCCCATTAGCTGGTAGATTGGCTATTTTTGCCAATAGGTGGTGTCAGATAACTGATAACCTGGTCATTCTTCAATGGATTAAGGGTTACAGCCTCCCCTTTTCTTCTTCACCTGTACAATTTACTTTCCCTAAAATTAAAGCTCTCTCTTTAGCAGAAAGGAAGGCATTCTCATATGAAATCAACAAGTTGTTGAACCAAGGAGCAATATCTAAATGCTCGCCTTGCCAGGGTCAATACATCTCTAATATTTTTTTAGTAGACAAACCAAATGGACAAAAACGTTTTATTTTAAATCTTAAGTATTTAAATACGTATTTAGAAGTGCCTCATTTTAAAATGGAAGACATTCGCACTGCATTGAGACTCATTAAAAAGGATTGTTTCTTTACTTTAATTGACCTGAAAGATGCTTATTTCCACGTAAATATCCACCCAGATCATAGAAAGTTTTTAAGGTTTGAGTATGACAATGTCTTGAACCAGTTTACGTGTTTACCCTTTGGTTTGTCATCAGCGCCTTATGTCTTTACTAAGTTGATGAAACCAGTAACTCATTGGTTGCGAACCAGGAATATCACATGTGTATGTTACTTAGACGACCTGCTAATTGTGGATTCTACATTGGAAGGTTGTCAGAAGTCCACCATTTTTACAGTAGAATTCTTGCAGTCCCTCGGTTTTACAATCAACTTTGAAAAGAGTCATTTAACCCCTAACAATTACGTTAGGTTTCTAGGTTTCATCCTTGATTCTAAACAGCTTAGAATTTCAGTACCTGCAGAGAAAAAAGAGCTTATAAAAAGGCGAACTAGGTATTTCTTAAATAAACGACGTTGCAAAATACGTGATCTAGCTCAGTACATAGGCTACTTGATTTCAGTTTGCCAGGGAGTTAAGTATGGGTGGATGTACACCAAACTTTTTGAGCGACATAAGTTTTTAGCTCTGGTTAAAAATAACTTGTGTTACTCTGCTTCAGTTACTCTCCCTTTAGAGCTTAAACCAGATTTTGAATGGTGGTTAAAGTCAATCGACTTAGCTTATAATGATATTATTAAAGATCAGTTTGAGTTAGAAATTTTTACAGACGCTTCACTGACAGGTTGGGGGGCTTGTTGTGGGAATAACAAGATTCGAGGGTGGTGGACTGCTGAGGAAAAATTATTTCACATTAATTTTTTGGAACTCTTGGCAATCTTTTTTGGGGTCAAACATTTTGCGGGTTCCATCTCTCACAGTAACATTTTACTAAGGTGTGATAATACTACTGCAGTATCTTATGTCAATAGAATGGGTAGTGTGCAACACCCAGCCTTGTCTGCTTTAGCAAAGAAACTTTGGAAGTGGTGTGAGGGAAAGGACCTGTGGCTGTTGGCTTCCTATATAAGCTCTAAAGAAAACTGGGAAGCTGATCTGGAATCAAGAAGCTTACCGTCAGACACAGAGTGGTGCCTGTCAGCAGAGGCGTTTGATCTTGTGACACGAAGACTGGGAGTCCCTGACATTGATCTCTTCGCTTCCAAAGATAATCATAAATGTGACGTTTATGTGTCTTGGTTTCAAGACCCACAGGCTCTTTACATTGATGCTTTTACGAGGTCTTGGGAGGGTTCTTACTTCTATGCGTTCCCCACCTTTGCTCTAATTTTAAGAGTAATACAAAAAATAATTAATGATAAGGCCGAGGGCATTCTTATTGTTCCAAATTGGGAAAATCAACCTTGGTTCCCAATTTTTTCGAATTTATTAGTACAAGACCCTATTTATTTGAAGCCTACTAATGACTTGTTGTTTTTACCTCACAGTCCATCACCTCACCCGTTGGCGGACAAGCTCTCTTTGTTGGCAGCCAGACTATCAGGGAGGCGTTCAAGTTGATGTCCTTACCGAATAACGTTGTGGAAACTATCCTTAAGTCACTGTCCGAAGCAACTGTCAAACAATATGGAGCAACGTACAAACGCTGGTTACCTTTCTGTGCAGATAGGGGGGTGAATCCGTATGAGGGCACACCATCTTTAGTGATGAGTTTTTTACAACATCTTTTTGATACGGAAGAAAATGCCTACGGAACATTTAATTCTCATCGCTCAGCACTATCGCTGATCACGTCAACAGATTTGTCGATTCATCCAGTCTTATGCAGATTTTTAAAGGGTATAGCAAAACTTCGACCGTCAAGACCCAGATACAATGTAGTGTGGGACCCACAAGTAGTTTTAGCGTACTTGGAGCGGCTCGCAATGGATTCGTTAAAAGCATTGTCCGAGAAGCTAATAACTCTTTTAGCACTTACAACTGCTCACCGAATACAAACTTTTTCGTTAATTCGAATAGAGAATATTATAGAATCGGGAAACGGATTTCAAATTTTGATTGAAGATAAGATCAAGACATCAGGGATAGGTAGAACCCAACCGTGTCTACACCTTCCATACTTTACAGAAAACCCAAAGCTTAGTGTCGCTACAGCTCTAAAACAATATTTGACTGCTACCAAGGGAAGGCGCACGTCAGTTAGAGACTTCCTATTTTTAACCTATAAGAAACCGTACCGCACTGCAAGCAAGCAGTCCCTTAGTAGATGGGTGAAGGATACGTTGGAAGAAGCAGGTATAGATACGAGAATCTTTAAGGCTCACTCCACTCGCCATGCTTCGACATCTAAAGCCTTTGATTTAGGTGTACCATTAGAAGTAATTCGGCAAACAGCGGGGTGGTCAACAAACTCGAAAACCTTCTGTCAGTTTTATAACAGACCTATTTCTCAGGTTGGCACACTATCAAAAGCCATATTATCATTATAATGTATATATAATACATCTTCTATTATAGAGAATAACACTTATGTCAGTCAGATGTTGACATTATGTGGATATTTCATTTAAGATTATTGTTTCACCATAGCTTTTAGTTTTCTTTTTTGAATTATATGATAGTGATAGTACCCTTCGACTGTTATTTGTTTTTTATCTGGGTTCATGTGGAAAACCACTGTCTCTAAACATCTACTTAGTATTCTATAAATGTCTTCGGATTGGATGTCGAATTATAATTACACGATCAAACGAACTCACCTGTGAAGTTCGATCGTAATTATATGAGACATCCAATCCGAAGACATTCAAACCCACCCCCCCACTCCTGTCGTTTTCCAGCACATTTTCGAAGGGTTTACCAGTTGATTTATCTTTGAACTAAATGAGGTTAGATACTCATTCCTAACGGGGACTGACATCACGACAGTGGCGGAGACCGTTTAGGGTAATTGGGGGTAAAAAGTTTTTCTTTTTAAATTATATAAGTACTTTTAAACTCGTGGCTGGAGTTCGAGCGAGGCGAACTACTTAGTATTCTATAAATGTCTTCGGATTGGATGTCTCATATAATTACGATCGAACTTCACAGGTGAGTTCGTTTGATCGTGTAATTATATGGGATTGTTGCGGTTGTTACTTTAACTTGCTCTACTGAGAAAATGAAAAAGAAAAGGGCCAGAAAAATGTGGGTTCGGGATTTGTTTGCGAGAAGAAGACAGTCCCAGGCAGAACCGTACGTAATATAGACGTCGATGTTTCGTACCTAATTACGTCAAAATAACCATAATAATGACGTAAATAAAACGTAAATGTAACGTGCATAAGTCACAGCCCGATTACGTAAATTTTTACGTCCGTATAACGTACATTTTTACGTTATTATGACTTAAACTAATACGTCATTTTTCTGAATAATTAACGTAATTGAGACGTAAACCAAATTACCAATTTGGGACATAGGGGAAATTCAAACCATTAAAAAATTGTAGCTAGGTAATATCAATTTATTCAAATGTCGAGTACCTATAGTTACATTGCATGAAACCTACATAAAACAGAAACAATAACATTCTTACATTAACAAAGTTACAAAGTATGAAGCAAAGGTAGTGCTATTTGAGAACTCCCTGAAATAAGCAAAGTACATTTGCCAAGAATATCATTAATACTGTATGTTGACATTAACTCAGATTTATCACTAATTTCAAATATATTTAGTAATTTAGAATCAATAGGGTAGCTATAAAATGATTGGTAACATTTATATTCTTTTCCGAGAATTGTAATGTTTGAGTTGGGGTTGTATAAGAAATTACAAATTTCAACTACAAGTCCGTTTTTAGTTATGAAATAAGAATCTGCTGAACAATGTGATTTAATTGAAAGTGTGAAATCATTGATTTGAATTTTTTTGTACTGTTTTTCAAAATTAATATTTAAAATTGGTCCTAACTGATGTTCCATATGACATTGGATATCCTTTTTCAGGGAACTTGGAATTGTGAACATTTCATGTAGTCGTCTTTGAATTTGCTGTAAAGGTTTATTAGCAGATCGTACTAAAGCTTTTAACTTTCCTAAATAATTTTCATAAGGAAAGGACGAAATTGAATTTAAATCTCCAAATCTTTCTGCATCATCTGTTATATGTAAAAGAGGATGGATATTATAAATATAAAACTGAAGAGTGTAAATTCTTTTGCAGTGTTTAACAAAGTGATATAAAAAAGTTCGCGGAAAACTTAGTCCAAATTGTTTGATATAATCTGCACATAGTAAAATTTGCATAGCACAATGCAAAAGTAAAAAATGATCATAAATTGCAATATCAATTTTATTTTTAAGAACAATTGGGCCAATGTATAAAACAAATGAACGAAATTCTGTCGCTTTCCAGTAAGAAAGCTCTGATAGTGACCTAGGTTTACGTTTTATTTCTACAGGAATACATTTTGCTAATGAAACTAACCGCTGCGACAATTCAGAAACAGTACGATTACTCAATCGAACACGTAAGTCACCACTTATCCATGTATTCAACAACTTTCTTACAACCCCTAAGCACACACAATGCATATAATCAGTAGGGAATGCGGTCACCATACCAATATTCAACTTTAACAGAGGCGAATCACCTGTATGGTGATCCTCATCCACTTTATTGCAAAAAGATTCATCAGTACGCTTTGGACAATCAAGCTCTTTTAATATTACTCTACCATTATAATAGTCACCTGCAACCGTACATTTGTCACAAGATGAATACCCACTATGGGACTTGATGCATTTTAAAAAAGCTCTAGCAGGCGCATCACAAACTATAGACCGAACTGTAACTGTGTAATGAATTTTGTTAAAAGTAAATCCCCTCTCTAACAGGTCCTTTAATTCACTGACAAAATTTTCCAAGTATTCTTCAATAGGAGTGGGTTTTGAACTACCTGCAAATATTCCCACAGCAAAGGGGTCATTTTCAAATTTAAAGATACTACATAGTATAGGCCACAATTGCATGCGATTACTCTTAAATAAAGGTATTCCGTCAATGTTAAAATTTAATGCCAAAGAAGTTGGTATTAAATTATGGCAATTATGTTTCACAATTTGTTTTTTCAAGCCTTCAACTAACCCCAAGTGACAGTATTCACCATTTACAAAATTCCTAGTGGTAGTTGTTCTTAAGGGGGTAGCTAATAGAGTTTTACTACAAAGTGGTAATTCACTATGGTGTGGAGCTAAAATTTTTAAAAGATCGTTTATTGCAGAGTGTGTTATATGATGTTGAGTAGCCCACAGTCTTAACTTTGAATTTATATTATTAGAATCAACATTAGAATGCATTGAACAGGAATCTCTATTGTCATTATTACTTTGCATATTATCCTCTATAATTTGAGTTTGGAAAGTATTTTGATCATCCAATAAACCGTTTGTAGTAACAAAGTCAATGTTATTGGAACTGTTGATCCCTAAATCACTGTTCTCTTGAAGTTCGCACATAAGTGAACTGTGTTCGATAGGTGAACTTGAGAGATCAAAATCAGTTGTTACAGACAAATGTTCCTGATCTCTCTGACAATCGGAAGAATTCAGTTTATTTTGTACTTTTGAAAGACTTTGTTGTACTGAAGTACTATCTGTCAGCAGGGCTACCTTAAATTCGTTTGCAATTCGCCTATACATCTGCCTTTTTCCAACACTACCTTTACGTCGTTTTAACATTATTAAGTATAAATTAAACTAAATGTAAATCTTAAGGTACGATTTTTACATAGGTACTTGATGAGGTTAAAAAATACAGCTTAAGTGTTAGATTCAACAGTATCCTTACTTTTTTTAAGCTTGCAACGTTGGGGTGCATGCTTCAACCACCCCTTTATTACTTGTTCGATGTCACACTCAACAGCCTGTGGTTGCTTTGCTTTTACTGCATCTTTGGCAACAAATTGTAAACAAAAGTTAAAAAAATAATAATTTAACTTACCAACAACGACCTTTTTTAAAGATAGTTGAGAAAATGGCTTTTTATTAGACCTAGTGCCCAGATAATTGTAACTACATGCCACACTATCGTTTATGACTCTCTTTAATATATTAGAAGTGGTGTCATTAATATTTTTTCCACCAAATGTAGATAAATGGCAACGCTGAAACAATAAAATAAATTATAATGCTACTGTAAATGCTAAAAAATTATTACCAGTAAATCGTAATTGTCCTGTATTGTCAAATACTGTTCCAATAGCTGAATTTCTTGTTCAGCATTGACCGGCAACTTTACAGGAAAATTTGCCGGTAGAGCATTTTCAAATTGGATTTTCTCTTGGGTCAATTTTTGCTGTCGCAGCAATTCTATTATTAATTTGTTTTGTTCTTTGATAAAAATAATATCATTGACTAATTTTTTTTGAAGAGCTAAAAAGAAAAAATACAAGATACTATACTTTATTTAGGTACCTACCTACATAAACAAGAAGCTAGAGTTGTATTGTTGTCATTGTGTGAAGATTGTGACGTAGAAGCTATGGATTGTTCACTACTCAGATCAGGAACAGGTTCGCAGATCTCTAATTGCCTTGGAGATGGTACATGTCTTACTACTTTATACCAATAACATACGCATTAAGTAAAATAATCCAGTTTTAGGTCACACTTACTTTGTTTGTTTAAGTTAAGAGTAGGTGGCCGAGGAAACTTTGAAGTTTGTTCTTCGTCACTACTACTTGAAAGTAGTCTACGAGAAGGTGCACGTTTCCTTTTTTGAAATTTATCTTGGTCTGCATCACCTTGACTTCCAACCTCAGCCTCACTACTTTGTAGATCAGAAGTATATTCGGCCCTCGGTAACTTCCTTTTTACACGTTCATAATCGTCTGTTTGATAAAAGTATTTATTAGGGTTCTGTATACTATACTATCGATATGAAATTCATAACTTCGATCAGCATGTAAGCTGCTCTAAAGTTACTTGGGTAATTATAAACAACAGCTCAGCTTCGGTTTACGCAACTATCTATAATGTTAATGACATTATAGGTAGTTGCGTAAGCCGTGTGCTACATATCGGCCTAATCCCATTCATTACTAATTTTGTACTTCGCAATTCGTCTTGACAGTATTATGGTATGGAAAAGTGTATCGTTATGCTTCTCATGACTTAAAACCATGCAATGTGCCAAAATGCTTCCACAGTTTATTCATATTACCAGTATCTAAATTTATAAAACGTACCTGACTCAAATAAGGTGCGCCGAACGAAACAAAGCTTCCACTTGTTGTCGATTACTTGATCTTCATTTAGAAGAACCTTTTCAAATGTTTTTGACTGTTTAGTAGGTGGCCAAAACGCTTCTTGTTTGCGAGGGGTAAACCACTCTGTCCGAATAATGGCCAAGTCTCCTCCAGACTCCTCTGCAAATTCCACTAATGAAAACATTTCGCCCTGCAAATAATAATCGAGGCAAATGGTCATATTGTACGTAAATTAATTAACTAACATACTTATCAAATATTTTACATTTACCTTTGCAATCTAATTATGATTACCGCAATAAAACGTGATTCACATCAACACCCTAACCTAACATTACATTGGAATGGCGCGAATGCGTAAAAGGTGCCACGATGCCAGCTTGCTTCAATGCGCGTGTAAGATGTTGCCGTTTTCAGGTATTGTTTCTTGTACTTACTCTTTCGTGTCATTAGATTTGAATCAAATCAATTTATTTTCACGAATTTTGAATTTTGATACAATAATCAGAAGTTTTAGAATTTATTTTATCACATAAAAACATGACGTTATTGCGACCGAAAGATAACGTAAGTATATTACGTAATATTTTGGTGTTTTTGTTTACGTAATAAATACGTCCAGTTTTGGGAAATTTACGTCTTCGTTTGTAATTTACGTCACACCGACGACTTAATGACGTACTGTTTCTGCCTGGGGTGTGGACATTGCGATTTCTGGCTACAGGAGATTCATACCCCAGTTTATCATTTGCCTTTAGAATTGCCCCGTCGACAATCTGTAACATTATAAAAGAAGTTTGCATCGTTTTATGGCAAATTTTGTCACCCCTGTACCTGAAGCCAATGAATAAGGAAAAATGGATTTCCATAATAAATGACTTTTATAATATTTGGCAACTTCCGAACTGTATGGGTTCAATTGATGGGAAGCATGTAAGAATTCATGCACCATCACATTCTGGTTCCCTTTATGTGAATTATAAAAAAATTTTCAGTATTGTTCTCTTAGCAGTTTGTGATGCCCGATATTCTTTCACGTATGTTGACGTAGGGGCATATGGATCACAAAGTGACGGAGGAATCTTAAAAAATTCAATTTTTGGTAAGAGGCTTTTAAATGGTACTTTAGGGGTGCCTCAACATTTACCTTTACCAAACACAGAAGTAAGTGTACCCACATTTTTTGTGGGAGATTTCCACTTCAAGTGAATTTGCTGAGACCATACCGTAAAAGGAAAGTTGGAGCCCACCCTCAAGACGAATTGATTTTTAATTACAGGTATACCAGTAGTAGTAGCTAACATGTTTAATACTTCTACAGCTTGTGTGCATTTTGTAGATTGTCTCGTGCCAGGGGTCCTATTCTTGACCCTACGTATTTATCAAGGTTATTCGTTTTTTTGATCCCAAACGATGAACTTTGGTCGAATGGTATTCTTGACCGTTCGAAAATATTTCGAATTCGTTAATGTCATTCGTTTTTACAACGAGCGGTATAAACCAGTCGAATTTATGACATATGCCATTTTTTTTACCTTGACGTAACTTGTCCACCGTATTCAGAATGTGTTTAAAAATTCATTTGAGGAATTGAGTGATGAACATGTTTCATTTAACGAAACAACACACCAAGAGACATTGCACGTAAATTAACGAAGGCGTGCAACAACGTCCATCTGTGGCTGAAACTCTCACATGCACGTTAATGTTAATTAACGCACTTGCATGTCTTAAGACAAGTCTCTTGGTCTGTCTGGCCTTACAGCTACATACGCATAGTCATTCTTGTGAAGGTTTTGGTTGCTGTACGATTTTTGGAAGCGGCCAAATTAGATGTTACAAGTTCCACTGTTCCACTTTTCGCAACCCGTTAAGGGCCCCACAGAAGACCGACTTGTTCGTCCGATTTGCACAACGTGTAAATCAGTTGGCACGATCGGACAAAGAAATCGGAAGTGCATGGGTAAAATCGGGCGTCTGTACGTAAAATATCAACATCCGACTTTTTGCCTTCCGATCGATCAAACACGAGGTACGTGGAGTCTGTCGTACTTGTTCGACATAGGTACCATCCGATTTACACGTCGTGCAAATCGGACGAACAAGTCGGAAGTCTGTGGGGCCCTTAATCACTTTTTGTAATTTGCTCAGTTATAAGAAAGTATATAGTTGTGTATACAAACTGTTGTCAAGGAAACCTCGTATGAAGGTATTTACTACTACCAAATTCAACGTTGCCAAACATATCATTCGATTTGAAATTACAAGCGTTACGAAGGCTACACATGAATAACAAATGATAGTCGTATGCGAATTTTCATACATCGTTTTAAAACGAATACGAACCAATTCGAGTGAGGTCAAGAATAGCACCCCAGACGTGTGATTGAAAATACACTTGGAATAATGGTAGCAAAATTTAGGATCTTTCATAGGAACATAAATAGAGAACCCCAAACTGTGGATGGAATTATTAAAGCTGCAATATGCTTACATAATTTCATAAAATCGGAGAACAGTAACTTTATTGATAGGGAAGAAAACGGTGCATTAATTAAAGGAGATTGGAGAAAAGAAGTGCCACAGCAAAATGCTTTTGGTAACATATCTGAAGCTCATTTACGTTTTGGGAATAGAAATTCTGCAAGAAATGCGTGGTCATTTAGAAATTACATAAAGGATTATTTAAATAATCCAGAAGGTAGTGATATCTGTCCGTGGCAGTGTGATCATATTCAAAGAACAGAATAAATTTAATGTACGTAATATCTACATTTAAACATGTACTTATGGAAATAAATACATTATGTGTTACGACATTTTCTTTTTATTTGGAGTAATCTTATCAAGGTTTCATCCATAAACTCTTCTTGTACACTTTTTGGTAGCTCGCTAATTTCTGTTTGAATGTAAGCTGCAAAATGTTGTAGCTTGCCAGGTTTATTTTTGTTCACATTTCAAATATTCGAGGAGATTTCTGATAGTATACTTATATAAGGACTCTCATCTTCCCTAGTTCTTTTACGTGATGCATTCCGAGGAGTCTTTAGCAACTGATTCTGTGGTTCACTTGGCGTAAAGGAATCCGTACTTTCTTCCGATGGAGAAAATGGTGCGTGAATTGTGCTGCTTGAAGAACTTGACGCCAAATCTTCAGAATATTCGTCCTGAGTATTGACCAAATTGGAAGATGTGCTAAAATTTTGTATGGATTTCTATCACAAATCGTATAGTTTGCTCTAACTTACTCTCGAGGTTGCCTATTGTCATACATAAATTGAAAAAATGACATTAAAGGCCACGGTTTACAATATGAGGCACCTGCTCCACTTTTCGATACTTGTTTTAGCTTCTCTTTCTCTCGATGATATTTCTCTCGGAGAGATTTATATCGGTTTTTACATACTTCAACAAAACAAACTGTTACACATATGATTGATGCTATATCGAATGCCTTACCTGGTAAACACATAAGATGCAGGCACATTTTCCCATGTCTTGTCGGTCATTAGTCATTACCCTATTACTATAACCCCTCTTTGTTATATCAAATATTGCCGGATAATTGCTTATTTGCTGCAATAACAACTCATCTTTTTCCGTTGAAAACGTGACCTTATTAATGTTAATGGACATTTTTTTAAAGTAAACAACTACAATAACCTCACAAAATTCAATGACCGCTTGCTAATTTCTTGCGCTTGGAGGAAATTGCAATTGAGTTTGTGCTCAAGCGCATGCCAAATTGGAAATGTAAACGCATACCTAATCTTTCATTAATCATGCGTACAATTTACAACTTTACTTCGAAGTGGAATTGAATGTAAATGAAGCTTTAGCCTTTATTTTCCTTGCTCCGTTTTTACTCTCTTTCTAATTCTTTTGCTCCTTTAATCCTTTCCCCTCCCTATAATATCTTTCACCCTGCTTTCTACATTCTGTGTCTCATCTTTGGTTTCTTTGTAGCATTCATGCATAGGTACATAATGGGTACATAGAATACCAAGTCAGTATACAATTTTGAGGTGCAACGTTTAATGTTAGTATTAATTTTCATTTTTACACTCCAATTTCATTATGAAATGTAATAAACCTGAAAGAAATTGGCGTTGTACAGATGAGGTGAGCGCAGATTTAGTCGCTCTATAGCTTGATATTGTTTGTAACGAAGCACCAGGAATTTCTGCATTTAGTTTGCAGTTTACAAAGACCACCCTGTATGTAACGATTGGTTTGGGCTTCGTTACGCAAAAAGACCGCGATATTTTTGTAACCACCGAAGGATGTTGTCCTCCCGAAGATGAGGGACAATTAATATTCTTTGGTTTCAGCGCCGTTAATTATTTATAAGATGTTTTAGATTCCCATAATAAGTAAAATCAAGGATAGAACGAGTTCAAATCGAGTTGTTTACAAGTTTTGCAGTCCCGTTCGTATGCCTGCATGTTGCGATAAGAGTGTTAAAGCGATAGCGCCGTTTGATAAGAAAAAGTCCAAGGGAGCTAGTTGCAGATTGGAGTGATGAGTACTTAGGTTTGATTACGCTTAATTAGGTAAGCGCTGTTAATTAATGCCATGTTAATGGGCAGTAGTAAACCTTGTCAGAAACCGTCGAGAGAGGTGTCCACAGAGGCGCTGTAATTTTTCTATTTGTTTGCAAGTTGTCCCAGATTTTTAAGATAATCACAGGAGCCGCAATTAATTAAAAACCGAATTATTTTCTACACCGCTCGGTACGAGCACCGCCCGGCTTTGGAAATTCCATGTTCCACTTCTACCAAAATAGGTTTCCTTTAAAAGGAAAATGCTCATTTTGGGAGGGATCTTTTCTGCTTCATACTTTCGAGTTGTAAGTACGCCTTTTGATTTTTCTAATTTGCGAAACCGTATCATTCCGAATCCACCGAACCCCTATTGCTTTACCGTTTTACCGTTTGAGCGACCGTAAGTCAATCCGTTATCCTTTCCGTTTGACTACCGTTTTGAGTTTACCTTTTTTTTCCACCTACCGTAACTTTTACCCCGTTCCGCTAAGTTTCATTACCGCCTTAAGCTTACCGTATTTTCTATCGATAGTGTTACCACCGTTTAATTAATATCACCGTTACTTAACCAAGGTAAGCGCTTAATTTTCAATTACGTTGATTAAAGGGGGGGAAGTATATTCTGTTCTCCTTGTTTTTTCCGCTTTTCGTTCCCCTAGACACCGCTAATTGATTTGTGCTTTATTGCTTTATTCCCTTTAGGAAATTTACCGTCAGGGCCGTCGGCCATATTTTGTTTTAGGTAATCCGGAAGTGACCGCCGCCATTTTGTGGTGAACCCTGACCGATCCCTGGTTATTCCGTTCTCCACTAGAGGATACCCGGAGGCTTTCCACCCCGTCCGCGAAGACCGCACCGCCCCTTTTCCCAAGACTTCGGGGGTGCTGAGTGAAGTCTTGGTGGCGCCCGAGAGACCGACCGACCGTTTACTTTGTGAATTGAATATATAAGACTATGACGTAATAGACCAGGATGTTATTTTTGCATTCGGTAACTTATTGCTCTGGCACTTCAACCAAGAAACATCGTGTCGATTAATTTGGCTAGACTGCACAATGTCAACTTGGTTTTATATATATATATTTATATAATATATATACGGATCTCGGGTTTACCAAATGGATCTCACCTTATCTGCAATATATGTAAAAATGATCTCACCTTAGCGCTTTTTAAATATATATATATATATATATATATATATATATATACATATACACAATACGAAGTCACTTCCAAAATAGATACACAACATTCGTTGTCACTTCCATTTTTACGTAGTCACTTCCAATTTCGGAAGTGACTACGTTTTTCCTTGTTGTTAGCTAATTTCGCTTATAGAGGTCATTGGCATGCCATATAAGAAAAATAGCTTGGAAGTGGCTACGTGTTAAACTTATCGGTTAAGTTTGGACTTAGTTCTCATATATGCCACTATCGCCACCATCGCTTATATGGTTTTCATATGCTATACGTAGTTACTTCCGTCATATAAAGTGTACCATGTCACATCCGAAATTTGGCATCCATGTTTCTGTGAATCCAAATACATTTTGCTATACGTGGTGTTAACGTAAACACGTCCGTTAAATTTGTCGGTAAAGTTTTATTTTGTCATGATAACCAGAGGAAGAAAATTACTTAAACTTGTACTAAATAAGGGTAAGTGGATGTATTTCTATATTTAACTGAGAATTGCTGATATTGTATTATTAAATTCATAACGGTTTATCATTCTGACTCTTATTTCAAAGGAAATTTTTAGCAACAAACAGCATGACGTGTTTTGCCATTTAATTATGTGTTTATTTTTTATTCTTCTATATAGAGGGTAATGGTGATGTACCCACATCTTCGGATGGTTTGAACATCCAATGTTCTACTCCGCCTTTGGAGCCACCAGAAGATAATTGTGATGTACCCACATCTTCGGATGTTTTGAACATCCAAAGTTCTACTCCGCCTTTGGAGCCACCACTGGATGTATGCAGCAGTACTGCAAAAACTATCGTAAGATCTTATTATTTTTCTATCTATGAAACAATTTTAACATAGTTTTCCTGAAATCAGAGGCAAGGTACTATTTTCACTCCTAAAATGCGGAGTGAAGATTTCGTTTCTCTGACTAATCACTTTAAATTTAATCACAATGCGCATTTATCCGTCAGTTTCTTTATGGAAACCGAAAAATGCTGTTCCTCGATAAATTTGTAAATCATTGTATCGATTGTATGAATTTCCTGTGATCACATGGATTTAGCCAATTAATGCGCCAATTTCGTTCAAAAAGAGTCACAATGATCGTATCGAGACCCAAGTTAATTTTTGGCCATGAATATATTGATTTTGACCAATATATGTTAGCTATGTAAGGACCAGATAGGACATTCATAAAATCGTGCCTACGTCCGTCCGTCTATCCGTATGCACAATAACTCTTGAACGAAAGGTCGTAGGCGCTTGAAATTTAGTATTTGCATGGGTACCCCTCCATACCATCAGTACATGCGCTATTTTTCCACAGGATTGGATAAATCAAAGCAACTTTGATGATGGGCACCATAACAAGTTAACCGATTTTAAGGAAAAGTTTGAGAATGTTCAGCCAGTACCAAAACCCTGTGGTTTAATCGCTTGTAATTGCAGCCACATATCAGGGTCAGAGCCGTCGGTCGATGATTCTTATCTAGATCGCGATTTTATACCGAACAGTGACGATACAACATCTACTAATTCGGAGGTATCGTATGATCTCACTAAAAGCGTTATCGAGGAGGGTAACGAAAATTATTCACATGGTAAACTAGCAAATATACGTCGTAGTAGTATAATTATACACCAGGACGTATCCATTTTCACGGTATACCTAATCTTTTAGATGTTGAATTGTTAGATATTTATTACTTAGGATTATTTGTAGAAACATACTAACAGTGGCATATCAATTTTAAACAATCTACCTTATACTGGTGATACTAATCTTATCAATGATACTTTAATGATCGACAAACGTCAAAATGAGCATCCATCACCACACGTAAGTGCAGATGCTAGACCTCAGATTGAAGACAATGTTCGTGAACCGTTATCAAATGTACTGAAGGTATGCATCAACGGGTAGGTAGTGTGTTGAATAAATTTACCTAGTATGTTCTCAATAGCGGCTAAAGAAAAACCAGAAGAAGGTGGTACATTGCAAGTTTTGCCAGGAAGACATTAACACGTTGAACTTTATGCGGCATGTTAAAAGAAATCATGGTAGTGAACAAGAAGTCCACACCATATTTCAATTGCCAAAAAACAGCAAAGAAAGACGCCGTGCTTTTGCAATTTTACGTAACGATACTAATTTTGAATTATTTATAAATGGAAATGTTCGCCCTAATAGAAAATTGGTAAAGGAACCGAAAATTAAAATTAAGTACTACCCTTGCGCGTACTGCAAGGGAATATTTGCAAGACAATACTTAAAACGCCATGTAAAGTCGTGTTTTTTAAAAGATTCCGAAAAGAATCAAAGCAAAATTTTGTCTTTATCACAAACAGTGACTGCATGCGCTATGGACCCTACAAACGTTCTCTCCAAGTTAAATGTCAAAGAGCAGGTAAATTACCTTGAAAATGTAACATTTCTCTTGAAGCCATAAGTTACTAGTCACTGCAAAATAAAACAATAATATATGCGAACGACATTTGTGAGGATGTTACACCTAGAAAATTAAATGTTGCTGAGCTATCTAAGAGATGTACAATGTGTCATATCGTTAATGCCCATTTCACTAAAGAAATGTGTGAACTAGTCACCTAAAATCGGAAGAGCGCAAAATTCCGAGTTTGAAATCTGATAGATTCTACCCTTCTACTGAACTCTTCCTTGAAGTTTTATTACCATATTTTTCATAGATTAAGAAACAGTGGTGCGAGTATTTTATCCGTCCTTTCGCCTGTGTCTCTTAGAAATCTCAACAACATTCAATTTTC